CCAGGGAGATTCTCTCTGTTGTCCATTGAGTGGGGCTCTGTCCCTGCCCTCTATTTAGTGGTTCCTCTCTTGGTTGACATCTGTCTTTTCATTGGTCAGATTTTGTAGGTAGGTCTACATGATGGACGGTTCTCAGAAAAAAGGTCTGAAGGAACAGAGGCCTCTCCACATTGTTACCCCTCTCCTGGAAAGCTGGAAGCTCTCCATGGCTGCAGGCACCACTGTCTTCCTGAAACTGGAGAATGTCCAGCCCACTGGCTCCTTCAAGATCAGGGGCATAGGACATCTCTGCCAGGAGGTGAGGGACTTTGGTCTGGAGGGTGGGTTCTAAGGTGTCTAGGCAGGAAGAGAGAAGTAAAGATTTTGGGTGAGAAGGGAAAGATGTCTATCCTAAAGGGATCTGGGGAGGGTGTCCATGTGGGTGGGCAGTGGGGAGGTGTTCAGAGCTCCAGCTTTCCTTGATTGGGTTAGACTTTCATCCCAGGGGTGGACATCCCAGTGCCTAGGGATCAGAAAGCTATGTGAGGGTATGGCATGTCTAGGGATCTAGATCATGGTCACTTCTTCCTGCCCAGGAAAGAGTAGAGAGGTCATATTCTTCTAAGTCCTCCAGGTTCTCTCCCCTCTCCCCTGCTAAATGCCACACTATATACTGAGAGGACTTTGGTGTAAATCCCAGCTCCCTCATGTATTCCTTGTGTGACTGGAGAATTCATTTCACCACTCTTGGCCTCAGTTTCTTTAACTATATAATGAGGGAGGTGAGCAAGATGATCTCTAGATTTATGACCATCAGAGTTGGGAGATGTGTTGGTTTGTTTTGCCTGATTTTTTTTCTTTTTCTTTCTTTCTTTCTTGGTTTCTTGTTTTTTTTTGGGTTTTTTTTTGGTACAAGGGGTGGTTCCCTGGGTAAGGGAGTGGGAAGGGCCATATTAAAAAAAGAAGGTGATATAAAAACAAAAGATAGAAATATTTTTTTAAAACAGTGTGTGCATTTGTGTCCTTCATGGGTGTTTATGTTTGTGTGGCTGAAAAAGTCAGTATCTCATACATAAATTCCACATGCTTCCACATCACTGCACATATTTCTTGACAAGTGAGGAGTGCCTCCCTTTCTTCTTTCCACAGGTGGCCAAGAAAGGTTGCAAACACTTTGTGTGTCCCTCAGGTGAGCCCATCCTCCCCACATCCCTGAGTCTTCTTGGGTATCCTAAGAACGAAGGGGTAGGTAGGAAGTGGGGACTTCTACAGTGTCTACAGAACTAGAGTCTGGGGGTGGGAAGGAGTACCTTATAGATTCCCTCTTATTCATTCAGGGGCATAGGATAATAGAACTGGGGAAGGAGAGGTTTGTGGATATTTGGACAACAGGTTGGGGTTGAGATTGAGGGGAAGAGGTTGTGGAAAGGGATTGGAGGTGAGAGGTTTGGAGGAGACACTAGAGGAGACTGATGGAAAGAGATGTTGAGTTGCAGGGAGAATTTGGAAAGAGAAGTTAAGGAAAATCACAAGGTGAACTTAGGTAAGAGAGTGGGGAGTGATATTCATATTTATTTATTATAAATGATTCATAGCAATCCACGTTGTTGTTTATAGTTTGTGATTCTTTTGACAACTCTTTATTCATATATTTTGACCACTAACACTGGAGAATGGCTCTTGGTTTTGTTTCATTTATGTTAGTTCCCTATATATCTTGGTAGTTAGATCCTTATCAGAGATATTTGTTGCAAAGATTTCCCCAACTAATAGCTTCTCTTCTTATTCTAGCTGCATTGATTTTGTTCATGGATTTGAAAACTTTTCAATTTCATGTATATGAAAAGTTCTATTTTAGCTTTTGTCATCGCTCCTCTTCCTTATTTGGTTAAAAATTCTTGGAGAAAGGTCTGAGGGAAGAGTGTAGAAGAAATCTGGAGAGACTGAGTGAAGAGTAGAATGTCAGAGTGGGAAAGGATCTCAGAGGTCATCTCTTCCAATGCATCTCTAGCTAAGCATCCATTCTACCACATACTTATCAAGTGGTAACCACACCTATTTTGAAGACCTCTAGCTATGGACACATCATCACCTCCCAAAGCTACCCATTCTACTTTTGAGCAACTTTTGTTCTCAGAAAGTTTTTCCTTAAGTTGAATGGAAATGTACCTTGCTATAACTTTCTCTCCCTTCTTCTACCTAATTCTGGGACTGAGTAGAATGAATCTAATCCATTTGGAATATGAGGACTGTTTTTTGTTTTTGTTTTTGCCTTTTTTTGTATCTCCAGGGCTTAGAACAGTGCCTAGTATATAGTAGTCACTTAAATGCTTGCTGATTGTTGAATAACTCTTCTACTTGACAGACCTTCAGATATTTGAAAATAGCTATCATCATGCCCTCACTCCACAAATCTATTTTTCCTCAGGCTAAACATTCTCAGTTCCTCCAATTCATTCTCATATGGTATGGTTTCATCCAGTCTGTCAACAGTCTTATCTAACAGCACCCAGAATTGAACAGAAATCCTGCTGATATGGTCTGACCTTGGCAGAGTACAGAGGGAGCATCATATCTCTCCTGCTTTGGATACTTTGACTCTCTTAATGTAGGTTAAGGAAGATTCAGGGGGGTATTTAGAAAAAGGGTTTGATTTCCTCTTCAAATACCTTGACCCCCATGATCTACTCCTCTACCCCACCTCAGCCATACACCATTGAGGTCATACCCTCAATCTTGCCATAACCCACAAATGTGCCACCTCCCTGTTCATGAATTCTGGAATTCCCTTATCTGATCGCAATCTATTGGCTCTCTAACTCTTCCTCTGGCTGTTCTTTGACCGTATTGGGATTTCCAGTTCCTTGAGTTTTCATTCCTAGGCTAATATTCTTACATTAGCGATACTCTTCTCCATTCCCTATCTTGAGCCCTTCAGTGAACTAATTCAATTCAACAATAAACTCTCTTCTTGAGTCATTTACTACCTTTTCATATCACTGATTATGTCCTATCAAACCTCAGCCTTGGATTAGTCCTCACACACAATGTCTTTACACCCATACATGTGGTGTTGAACGAAGGTGGAAAAAAAATCATGCAACTGTATTGTGTTTCCTATCAGTTTATATAAAATTTTCTTTAAATTTGAAAATTAAATGAACTTGACCCTCACTGCTACTAGGCAATCCTTTTATGCCTCTCTAATTATCTCACTATGCCATTCACCATAGTAGCTCTTCTCAAATAGATCATGGCTTCCCCTCCCCCACCTTGCCTGAGAATCTTGCGTCATATTTTACTGAAGAAGAAATGAGGTCATTAGAACTCAAACCTTATCTTCTATGAGAAACCTTTCACTATCTGTTCATTCTCATGTCTCCTTTTGTTGATTATCTTCAATTAATAATATATATACATATATGTGTCTTTTTTGTACAAAATTGTTTGCATGTTACATCTCTTCCATTAGACTGTAAGTTTTTTGAGGGAAGGGATTATCTTTTGCCTTTCTTTGTATCTCCAGTGCTTAGTATAGTGCCTGGAACATGGTAGATGCTTAATAAATGTTTAGGAAGAAGGTGGAAGAGAAATGGGAGGAAGAAAAGGTGGTATAGGAGGAGTTGGGTTCAAACGCTGATTCTTCAACTTACTACTTGTGTGACATTGGGCAAGTCACAGTTTCTCTGGGTTTCAGATTCCTCATTTATAAAGTGAAAGAATTGGACTAAATTATTGAAATACTGTGAGGCTTTGATCCCAGAGTGCTGTGTTGATATCGGGGACAAAACACTGAATACATATGGGCCCCATAGCTCCCTTTTTGAAGACATCTTAACTTCTATGCTCACACCTTTTCTAAAAGAATGTCCTTTACCAAGATGGCAGCTTCCTTCTTGGCCTTCATCTTCTTCTCCCATATTCTCCCTTATTAAGTACATGTAAATGTCAGACTAACTATGTATGACCCCTTAACCCTTTCCTTGTTTCCACAGGGGGAAATGCAGGTGTGGCTGTCGCTTATGCTGCCAGAAAGCTGGGCATTCCAACCACTGTTTTGTTGCCCAAAGGTGCCAACCCAACTTTGCTTGAGAGGCTGGAGAGGGAAGGGGCTGAGGTGCAGATCGTGGGGAAGGTAATGAAAGGCTTCCTGCTGAGCACAGCCCACTGGGAGGTTGGGAGGGCCTGGGGGCAGCTGGGATCTCTCTTACTACCTGTTATCTCCTCAAACTCTTCAGTCTTAGAAGTATAATAATGCTATTTTATTGAGCCTGTGTCTTTATTAATGTAAACCACTTCTGGTGAGGGAACTCCCTCTACCAAAGCAAGTGTACCTGCCTTGTAACTACTGGTCTTAGGGAGTTACCTGGGGGTTCTGAGACAGTGTAAGACTTGTCCAGGGTCACACAGTCTGTATGTGTCAGAGATGGGAATTAAAGCCAGGCCCATCTGACTTGAAGTCCCACTTTCTATCCATTACTTTCTTAGAATTACATTTATTAATACAATCATAACAAATATGATCATTTTAATTAATACTGTAATGATGGCCAACATTTCTACATTTGAAGGAATCCAAAGTGCTTTCCTTCTCTTTTTTCTACCATTTGAGTCCCGTGACAACCAGAGACCAGGTAAATACTACAGTTATTACTATCCTCATTTTACTCTGTTGAGGTGATGGTGTTTTCAAGGGTCCTCAGGAGAGGCCATGCCTTATCCATAATTAATTTTCTCCTAACTTTGCCCAGTCTCTGGTCTTCAGGCTACAAGTGACCCTAGAGGTCATTTTGTCCATCCCTCTGCCTCTAGGTGGGAGAGCACTTCAATCAGTCCAACTACAATGCATCTTTCTGTACCATGTTCTGCCACTGGCCTCTTCTTACTCCTCTTTTATTTGGACCAGGACCTCTTGCCAGGGTCAGATCACACCAAAAGTTCACAGCTAACAGCATCATATTAACCTCTAAACAATACATGGGTAAAAGAGAGATTGTTGAAGTTAGGTGGTGCAGGGGTTAGTGCCCTGGATTTGGAATCAGGAAAATCTGATCTCAAATCCTGCCTCAACCACTTCATAGTTGTGTGACCTTAATTCACTTCTCTGGTTCTTCATCTATGAAATGAAGGGGTTCCTCTAAATGACCGTTTACCTCTAACTCTATGATCCTTAAATCACTGAACCTCTTAAAGCCCTAGTTAACTCACTGAGGTTATAAATTGCAGACTAGTAGCCAATCTTCAATGGTGGATGGAGTTTTCATATGGGAGTCCCTTCATCAAGGAAATTGTAGGTCTGGTTCTCCCTTCAAATATTTTAATTTAGAAGGGGAAAAATTACAGTATCTTTGTCATTGGCTGTAAATTAACATCATTTTAAACCTGCAGGGTTTTTTGATCAAAGAGCCCCCCAAATGCTTGAAGGGGTGAACAAGATAAGAGTTCTCTGAACTAGTGCACTGGGGGTCCACAGTTTACACCCTCCTTGGTCTTTAATGCTTTAAAATTAGAATTCTCTTACCGCAATATGTTTCCCTCCTGTTAATCACCTCCAGTTTCTTTATATTGTTTGTATACAGCTGTTGGGATTAGATTGAGCTCCTAGAAGGCAGGGACCATTTTTGCCTTTCTTTGTATCTCCCATGTTCAATAAATTCAAGGCATTTAGTGAATTCTTATTGACTGGACTATAAGCACCTTGAGGGCAGGAACCAGCTCTAGGATGCTATGTTCAAGACTTCACATACATTATCTTGCCTGAGCCTCACAAATACCCTTTGAGAAAAGTCAAAGAGGTATTAGTAGAAATCTAGAAGGTTCTGTGTTTTCCTTAGCGTTTGGGTGTTGTTGACTGAGTAGATGAGCCCTAGGGAGTTGCATAGGTCCTAGAGAGTGACCTAGGGCTGCCCAGCTAGTGTTAGAGGCAGGATCTGAGCCAACATCTTCTTGAATCCAAGTGTGGCTCTCTATCCATCATTCCATGCTGCCTTTATCCTATTGAATAATTAACTTCTATTGATAATTAATCTATTGAATTAATTAATTCTATTGAATAAATTTAACATGTGGAGAATATTGTTATCCCCATTTTACAGATAAGGAAACTGAGGCTTAGAAAGCTTAAATGTCTGAGAAAGAAAGCTTAGGTTCATGGTTGCATAACTGGTAATCATCAGAGGGAGTTTTAGAACACCCCTCTCCTGACTTCATATCCAGTTCTGTCCCCACTATACCATGAAGCCTTCTATTTTGTCTACAGAGCCTTGAACAGGGCTGAGTGCTGAGTATATGTTGAATAAATATTTCTTGAGCAAATAAGCAAAACATTTGCTGGTTTTTAGTAAGGGTGATTCCAGCCAATTTTTATAAAAAAGTTGGGTACATTTTCCACTGTCCTTTTTGTTTGCTGTTCAATCATTTCAGTCAGGTTTGACTTTTCATGACCCCATTTGGGGTTTTCTTCGCAAAGATAGTGGAGCGTTTTGCCATTTCCTTCTCCAGTTCATTGTGGGGATGAGTAAACTGAGGCAAACAGGGTGAAGTGACTTGCACAGGGTCACACAGCTAGTAAGTGTCTGAGGTCAGATTTGAACTCAGATCTTCCTAACTCCTGATCCAGCCCTCTATCTGCTTTTGCATCACTGTCATTTCCCAGCATCTCTGCTCACTGTTTCCCAGAGGGACACCTTTTTTTTTTTTTAATTGAGAATAGAAAAGAGGAAAATAAACCCCAGTTCAGGAAAACTAACACATGCACCAAATCCAACAGCTAGAGGCAGTGTTCTACACCCATAGTTCTCTTCCTCTGCAAAGAAAGGTAGGAAGCATACTTTCTTATATCTTCCTTAAGGCTAAGATTTGTCATAACTTCATCTGGTTTTGTTGTGGTTGGTTTTTCCTTATTGTCATTCCTTCCATCTGGTTATCTGTTGTTATTGTGTACCTTGTCTGCCTGGATTTGCTCACTTCCCTCTGCATCAGTTCATAGAAGTTTTCTCATACTTCTATGGATTCTTCATGTTCATTACAGTGCAGTAATACTCCATTACATTCATATATTGCAGGATGGTTTAGAAGTGGGAAAAAAAGGCTGCTAAACATATTTCCACTTGTTTTGGACTCTAAGTCAATCTAGTCCAAATTAGGGGAGAAGAGGTGAGAAGAGGCAGATTTGGGACACAGCCTGAATCCCAATGTCCATTGACCATAGGAATCCCTAAGTGACTTTAACCACTGGCTTACAGCCTGGCCCCAGTATTTCCACTAAGATCTTTAGAATCTGAATCCCTGACCCAGACATTACCTTTCCCCCTCTCTCTCCTATATCCCATTAGCACTGATGATATGATCAGGTTATAAGACCCCAGTCCCTGATTACTCCATATCTTTTTTCCCCTTTCTCTGCCTTAGATTCTTAATAAGTACCTTTTAATTCATTGATTAATTCTGTCCATTTTTCTGTAGGTGTGGGATGAAGCCAATCTGAAGGCCCAGGAGATGACCAAAGTGGATGGTTGGGTCAATATTCCCCCCTTTGATAACCCACTGATCTGGTGACTATGAGCCCCTTCCCCTTTCCCAGCTCTTGTCCCTTGAACCTCCAACATTTAGGTCCCTGGATTTATGGTCAGCTCTCATTAGAAACTGATTCACTACTATTCAGATTACATTATGGGGATTTAAACAATTTTCTTCCTTCTTTTTCTTTGTGCAACTTGGTTGTGGGCTGCCAACATTAGAATTGTCCCAGGAAGGGAGAATTGGGCTGGGGCACAGAGCCAGTAACTTGGGCTTCTGAGCACCAGGTTATGTTACTACACAGGTTGGGACAATGGGAAGGGCTCTGGGTTGGGATTTGGGAAATTTGGGTTTTAGTCCTAACTCTGACACAAACTTGTGTGTGACCATGAATGCAGCCTTTGAGCCTGGGTCGCAGTTTTCCTTTTGTTAAATGAGGAGGGATTGCTAAGGTCCCTCTCAGCTCTGATATTCCACATTCTAAGATTCTTCCCAGCCCTGGCATTCTAGAGCTCTTTATTTATCATCATCATCATCATCACTAACATTTTATGGCACTTTAAGATTTGCAAAGTGCTTTACAAACATTTAATCCTAACACCTGAGACTAGGTCCCATTCTTAACCCCATTAGGCTGTAAGCTTCTTGAGAGAAGGGACTGTTTTTCCATTTTGCACCATGCCTTACATAGTGCCTGGTAGCACATAGTAGGTGATTAATAATATGTGCCCAATCAAGCCCATAGTAGGTGCTTCGTAAATTTTTATTGACTAACTGGTTTACAGATGTGGAAACTGAGGCAGAGTGATTTGCCTACAGTCACATTGATAGTAAATACCTGAGGCTGGATTTGAACTCAGGTTTTCCTGACTTCATCAGATATACCCTTCGTTGGGTGGTGGTGATGGTGGTAGTGATGGGGGCCTTCCTCTTCTTGCTCTTGTCTCCAGGGAAGGCCATGGCAGCATAATTCATGAACTCAAGCATACTCTGGGTACCCGGCCTGGTGTCATCATCCTCTCTGTAGGGGGTGGGGGCCTCCTGGCTGGTGTGGTAGCAGGAATGAAGCAGGTGGGCTGGCAGGATGTGCCCATCATCGCCATGGAGACCCGGGGGGCTGACAGCTTTAACCAAGCCATCCAGGCTGGGAGACTTGTCACCTTGCCTGACATTACCAGGTGGGCATTGCTTGACTTTCAAGGGGTTGTGTTGGCCCCAGAAGATCACTTTCCTTCTCTGGGCCTCAGTTTCCTTATCTGTAAAATGAGAGGGTTGGACTAGGTGGCCTCTGGGACCCCTTCCAGTTCCAGATCCTTAAGCATAATTACATACGTATGTCTGTAAAAGAACAGTAAAGGAGCTAGATAATGTCTTAGGTCTCTTCAAAGGACCACAGTAGTGGGATCTCAGAGACCACCCAGCCCAACCATCTCATTTTACAGTGGAGGCCTGAGTGACTTGCCTAAGGTCACACAGCTAATAAGAGGCAGAGCTGGGCTTTGAACACCCCCTCCCAGGTCCTTGGTCTCTTTATTAAACACAACCCCCTTTCCACTGTGGCACACTTTCTATGATCTGTGAGCTGTGTCTTTCTCACATGTGGGATTTGATTTCTCCAGGATCTCCCATTAGAATTCACTGTTTCTTTCTCCTCCCAGCATAGCAAAATGTCTGGGTGCCAAGACAGTGGCTGCCCGGGCACTGGAGTGTGCCCATGAGTGCCAGATCATCTCGGAGGTGGTAGACGACGTGGAAGCCATCGAGGCCGTTGAACGCTTCCTTGGTGAGTGCTGTAGGAAGGTTAGCCTTGCCTGTAGACAAACTGGGTGGTCACTGAAAACAGCCCTCTAATCTCACAGTATTTCCCTGAAATTTCACCCCAGAGCTGGCATTCCACTATTATCCCTTGACCCCTTGAGTTTGGTCTTGCCTTCTCCATATTTGTCCTTCATCCCTGAGTGGGGATGAGTTCCCTAACTTTTCCAAATGATATCTCATTTGATCCTTGTAACCTCTCTGCCCTGGGAGGCAGGTGATAATAGCACTCATTTTACAGAAGAGGAAACTGAGTTCAACAGAGTGACATTGCCTTGTCCAGGGTCTCATGGCTAGTTAGTGTCCATGGTAGGATTTGAACTCAGGTCGCCCTAACTCTGGGTTTGGTGCTGTATCCACTGCACCGCCTAGCTACCAGCATGGGTCATGGCATAAGGAACTACTGAGGACCCATAGAACACAGTGGTAACTTGTGCTGAGTCCTGACTGGCTCTTGGTATCTCTCTGTCTCCCTATTTCATTGTCCTGTCTTCCTGCATCCCTGGCCTTGTCCTTCCTGCTGGCCACAGATGATGAGAGGATGCTAGTGGAACCAGCCTGTGGGGCTGCACTAGCTGCCATCTATTCAGGCTGCCTGGGCCGGCTCCAGGCTGAGGGCCGCCTCAGCGCCTCACTGGGCTCCATCGTGGTCATCGTGTGTGGTGGGAACAACATTGATCGGGCTGAGCTGAGGGACCTCCAAACCAGGCTGGGGAGGAGCTGAGTGGCCCTGCCCTGGGAGGCTCTACTTGGGTACGTAAGCCAGGCCATGGGGTATCAAGGGAGGGGGAGGTAGCCTTGAGAGGCCTGAGAAATGGTGTTTTCCTTTCAGGATTAAACTCTCCATCAGACTTCTTGATGCTGAAATGATGCTCTCAGCAAGTGCCTCTGGAGAAAGTGACATTTGTAGCCCTGCCCTCCTCCTGGAAGCCTTCCCTGATTACTCCCATCCTTAGTATTTCTCTCTTGTCAATTTTCTTCTTGGTCTCCCCAACTAGACTGTAAGCGGGCATGTGCCTTGTATTTTTGTGTCAACCTGGTCATAGCAGATATTCAAAAAAATTTTGTTATTTGAATTGAGTTCATAGATTCTTTGAACCTCAGGACTAGAAAGGACCTTAGAGATCATCAGGTCCAACTACCCATTTTACGGAGGAGGAAAGTGAGTCCCTCCTTTACTGAAAAACCTTCAGTGATTGCCTATTGTATATCTAATGAAGTGTGATTCTTCAATTATTTTCAGTCCTGTCTCTTTGTGACCCCATTTGGGATTTTCTTGGCAGAGATACTAGAGTGGTTTGCCATTTCCTTCTCCAGCTCATTTTATGGATGAGGAAACTGAGGCATACAGAGTGAAGTGCCTTATCCAGGGTCACACAGCTAATATCTGAGGCGAGATTTGAACTCAGGGAGATGAGTCGTCCTAACTCCAGGGCCAGCACTCTGTCCGCTGCATCACCTAGCTGCCCTCACCCCATAAAGTATATCCTCTCAAGTCTGGCATTCAGATCCTCTGTAGTTTAGCTACAATCTACCTGTATAGTTTTATCTCAATAACCCCCATTTCTTATATTCTCCTTCTGGTCAAACTGGGCTAGCCCCTGTCCTCCATTCTAGTCTCCATTTCTCAGATCTCTGGGCCTTTGATCTTATCAGCCCCCACTCCTGGAATAGACTCCCTCACCCTTGTCTGTGGAAGTTCCTACTTTTCTTCATGGTCCAGTTCAGATAGTATTTCCCTTCATGAATATGGGGTCAAAACACCTCACCCATACTCTCATCATGAATGTAATGAATCATGAATCATGAATCTTCTCACATTTCTCCTAGTCCTCTCCCCTTATCTTATTCTTCCTGGTGCCAGAGCATCATAGGACTTAGGTGTTAAAGCCCTTTGAGATTACCTGGTCCAAAGATCCCATTTTGCTGATGGGAAAGTAGAGGGGAAGTGACGTGCACGTGGGATACCCTGACTCCAAATCCTACACTCTTTACACCACATTAAGATCATACCCTACAGGGACTGCTGCAAAGAATGGAGGAGGTTTATTCTGGAGAAAAGAAGACTCAGGAGTGATGTGATAACTGTCTTCAACTTTCAGAAGAACCAGAAGAGCATAGACAAGTTCTCTTTGGTTCTAAAGGACAGGACCAGGAGTACCTGGTGCCTGGCCCACAGCAGGTGCTTGATAAGTCCCTGATTGCTTGATAAAGTGTAAAGAGGTCAATTTTGGATTGATTTCAGGGGAGAAAAGCTTCCTGCCAAATGAGAGCTGGAATGTGGAATGGACTGTCTTCAGGTCAGTGGGTAATCCCTCCTTGGAGGTTTTCAGGCAGAGGATTGGATGATCACTTGCCATAGTCGGTAGTTAATAAATAATTGTGGATGAGTTGGTTGATTATTGTGTGTTTTATAGAGGGGAGTCCTTTTCTGTTTTTGGGTGGACTAGATGGCCATGAAACTCCCTAGATGGAGTGGGTTCCTCCTTCTTGGAGGCCTTCAGGCAGAGGTTGGGTTTGCCATGGTAAGTGATTTATAGATATTTGTGGATTAATTGTTTGATCTTTGGGTATTTTATAGAGGGGGGTTCTTTTCTTCTATTGGCAGGACTAAATCGCCATGGAGCTCCCTTCCAAGTCACTGTCTGTGATTCTCTGACCTTCCCATGTCTTGTTTTATACGATTGTCCTTCCCCTCTCTATGTCCCCTAGTCAGGCTGGGTTCACCTCTCTTGATTCTCTTATCCAGAGCACGGACAGCTGAGAGGTCAGAAAAGGACTATACGGTTCTTTAGGGCAGTGGCTGTTTGTGTCTATCTTTCACCAAAAATGAGGCTCCTTACACAGTAGTTGCCTAACTAATGCTTGCTGTGTTGAGGAATACCACTTGGCCAAGGTCCCCCAGATTGCTAACGATGAAGCAAGAAACCCTGACCCTTGGACTTGTACACCAGGCTGTCAGAAGCAGTCTGTGGTCATGACCATTGTATAAAGGGGCCTGCTCTTGAGGGTCCCTCTCAGCCTGGCTGAGAGATCATCAGTGTTCTCCAGAGCTGGCTTTTTTGGTTACTCAGGAATAGACAAGCCCAGGTTGTTTTTGGAAGCTTTATGAAAAATAGCATCTCAGTGCCACATGGCGACAGTAAAGTGTTTTTCATGCAGATGAACCCACAGATGGATGAAGAGGAATATTTTCTGGTTTCTGCATTGAAATATATTCTTTCTCTGTGGTATGCATCTTTTCTGACCCCCCCCCCCGTTAATTTTCAGCCCCAACCCTAGAAGAGTGGGGAGAAATGAGCTGAGTCAGAGCTCTGCATAAGGGCTATTCTGAAGAGCCATCTCAGAATCACAAAAACCATGAGTTGGAAGACGCCATAGACACCAATTCCCTTAGACCCACAGCATCACAGAATTAGATTTGGAAGGGACTTTAGGAGACACTGAGTTCAACCTCCTCTTTTTACAGATGAAGAAGCTCAAGTTCAGAGAGGTGCAGGCACTTGCCCAAGGTCACACAGGAAATGAGTGGTAAAGCTGGCAAGAGGTTCTGGCTACGGGTTCAAATACCTCCAGATGGGTTTCTTCACTTCTTAGTGCCTCATTTTTCCCTCCTCCCCTAATCAGGGCAATCTTTTGTCAAGTTGGACAGATGACAGATAAAACTGCCTTAGTTTTATCAACTGTAAAATGGGTATTAAAATAGCACCTACCTCCCAGGGTCGTTGTGAGGATCAAAATGACATAATATTTGTAAGGTGCTTAGTACAGCAGCTGACAACAGTAGCTGACTAATAAATGTTTATTCCCTTACCTTTCCCTTATTCCTATTAAATTCCATCTGTTAGATTTGACCCAATATTCTAAGATGCCATGACCTGTTTGGACTTTTACTCTTTGCCCCAGGATGTTAACTGCTTCCTAGTCTCATTTCATGTACAAATTGGACAATCAACCAATCAACAAACATTTATTGTTGATGTTTGGTTATTGTGTCTAACTCTTTGTGACCCCATTTCGGGGTTTTCTTGACAAAAATACTAGAGTGGTTTGCTGTTTCCTTCGCTAGCTCAATTCACAGATGAGGAACAGAGACAAACAGGGTGAAGTGACTCACCCAGGGTAACACAGTTTGTAAGTGTCTAAGGCCACATTTGAACTCAGGAAGATGAATTCTAAGACCAGTGTCCTATCTACTTTGACACTTAACTGCACCTACCATTGCCAGGTAGTATGTTGGGGGCTGGGGAGACAAAGTGACCTCAAAGAGCTTACAATCTATTACATCCTATAGATATAGAAATGTGCAAATGATGATGGTGATGGTGGTGGTGGTGGTGGTGATGATAACTAGCATTTATGTAGTGCTTTAAAGTTTGCTTTATAAATATTTGATTTTATCATCAGAACAGCCCTGAGAAGTAGATGTTGTTATTATCCCCATTTTACAGGTAAGTAAACTAAATGAGATCAAAATGACCAGCTTAGGGCCACACAGCTGGTGAGTATCTGACCCTGTGTTTGAAATCGTCTTCCTGACTCAGGTCCAGAGCTGTGCCTCCTAGCTGCTCTATGTAAATATATGCAATACCTAATAAATACAAGATAATTTTGGATGGGAGGTATTAGCAGCTGGAAGAATCAGGAAAAGGTTCATGTAGGAGGTGATGTTTGAGTTGAACTTTGGAGGAAACTAGAATTCTGTGCATGTATGCCTTTATCCAAGTCACTGATGGAATAGCACCATAGACAGATCCCTGGCATGCTCCACTAGGGACCTTCTTTCAAGCTGTTGTTGAATCTTTTATTGTGATTCTTTGGGTCCAACTATTCAACCAATTACAAATCCACCTGACTGGATCTTTAATTAGCCCAAATCTCTTCATTTTGTCTACAAGAATAATATAAGAATTTTTGTCAAATACTTTGCTAAAAGTCTAGGAAAAGTATCATCTACAACATTCTTCATCTCTGTCTAGTATTCCTGCCAGAAAAAGAAATAAAATCAACCCTATGTGCCCTATTCTTGGCAAAGCCATGATGGTTCTCTGTCATGATTGCTTCTTGCTCCAGGTGTTCCCTGGTCATTTCTTAGATAATATAACCTAAAATCTTGGTGAGAATTGAAATTAAATTTATTGCAACTTGTAGATATTATTCTTTGCCCTCTTTTGGAAAATCAGGGCCATGTTTAGTATTTTTCTCAGTTCCCAAGGAGAGGCAATTAGATGGTGCTATAATGCATAGAGCTTGGGCCAGGAGACAGGAAGACTTGAGTTCAAATCCAGCCTCAGACACTTACTAGGTATGTGATCCTGGACAAGTCACAACTCCATTTGCCTCAGTTTCCTAATTTGTAAAATGAGCTGGAAAAGGAAATGGCAATCTACTCCAGTATCTTTGCCAAGAAAATGGACTCACAAAGAATTGGTCATGACTGAAAAAGACTAAACAAATCCCATCATACCTTTCTTACTCTCCATGATTGTTATTGGTGCAACAATCCTAGCTACCCTTTTTGTCAGTACTTGGCCAAGTCCTTTATCTGGGCCTGATACTTTGAACTAATCAAGGGCAGTTGGTACCACCTTATCCATCACTTACTTACCTAATGATGCTACTGCCCTTCTCCTTCAAAAGCTTAGTGGTTCCCCTTTGCTTACCAGATACCCATAGAAGCAAATCTTTGACTCTGGCATTCAAGGCTTTTGTCAATCTGGAGTTCTGTGTTCAATTCTGAGTTTCAGCAAGATATGGATCAACTGGAGAGCATGAAGGATATTGAAGGCCCTTGAGTCTACATCAAGTGAAGATTGCTTGAAGGCACTGGGAACATTTTGCCTGGAGGATAGAAGATCAAAGGGTGATATGATGACTGTCTTCAAGCACTTGAAGGGACTCTCATGGAAGAGGGAGTAGCCTTATTCTTAACTTATTCTTAATTCTTATTATAAAACTGATTACCTTTGCCAGTCCTTTACCTTCCCCCAAACCCCAAAGAATAAAACAAATGTTTGAAAAATGAATAGGAAACTTTCAGCTTTTAGGAAGCAAAGCAAAAGTAGGGACCATCACC